AGCGCGGTTGCGAGTAAACGGGCAGCTTGCCGTCTGGCGAGGTGACAAAGAATACGATCCCATGCGAGGTCCCCACTCCCCCTCCGTGGGAGGCCGCTGCCCCAGGGCTGCCGCCGTCGCCGCCGTCGCCGTCGCCTGCGCCGCCGTCTCCGCCGGCGTGCGTGGTCAAGATCGAGCTGGTGCTTGTGCTGGACAAGAGCGGGTCGGTCCAGGCGGAGCAGTCGTCGCTGCTCGCCTTCGCGCGCGAGATGGTGTCCCAGTTCAGCCTCGACGCGACCGAGGGCGCCCGTGTCGGCATCGTCGAGTTCTCGAGCGACGCGGCGACGCTCACGCCGCTGACCGGCTCTCTGAGCGAAGTGCTGACCGCGATCGACGGCGCGTCTGCGGCAGGGGGTGGCACGTCCGTGTCGGACGGCCTGGAGCTCGGGCGAGTCGAGGTGAACCAGGGCGCGCGCGCCGACGTGCCTCGCACGATCCTGCTGCTGACGGACGGCGTGCAGACGGTGGACGGCAACGACGACACGGCCATCGCGAAGGCGGCGGTGGTGAAGCAGGACGGCATCTCGATTGTCGCGGTCGGGTTTGGCGGCGCGAATGAGCAGACGATGCGCGCGATCGCGTCGGCGCCCAGCTCCGACTTCGCCTTCTTCGGCGCGTCGATGGACGAGGTGCGGCAGCACTTTGCGTCGGACCAGCTCTGCGAGCTGGCCGCGTCCCCGAAGGCGCCGCCGCCGCCTCCGTCGCTGCCCGCGCCGCCAGGGCTGCCGCCCTCGCCGCCGTCGCCGTCGCCTGCACCGCCGCCATCACCGCCACCATCGCCACCACCATCGCCACCACCACAACCGCCACCGTCGCCACCCCCACCCTCATCGCCGCCGCCCTCGCCGCCCCCACCCACGACACCTCCCTCTCCGCCTCCACCTTTGCCGCCTCCGCCCTCGCCGCCAACCTCGCCGCCACCGGCATTGCCACCTCCAGCCTCACCCTCAATTTGCGATGAGAGTGCGCTCAGCAGCGGCTACCAGGAGAGCCTTGGACCATGTTCCACGCTGGGTGATGATTGCGTTGGAGGGGGGCAGGCTCGCCAGCCTTATGAGTGGACCGAGGGGGGGTTCCGGATCACGATGACACAGAAGCACGACGTGACGTTTGCTGACGCCGTTGGCCAGACGTACCTGTGCAGCGTGCGGGCATTTGGCCCGTGGGGGGTGCCCCAAGCAGCGTGCTGCAGTTGTAGCGCGACCGATCCGTTGTCGGCGACGCGTTCTAGCATGTACGCGCCACTAGCGACAAACTACCACTGCTACTATGACTGCCAACTGTGCTACCGCCGTGGGCTCTCCCCGCGGGAGGGAGCCCATCGCACCACCAGGTGGAAGAGAAGAAGTGGGCTGTGTGTACTTGTTACGTGAAAACCCGCTGGGACCCGGACGCCAGCACACACGGCTAGATTTCATGGCGGGCCGCCTAGGCCCTGGGGTCGGAGGTAGAGTCGGTGGGGGTGCCGCGCGCGGCGCGGGCTTCGCTGTCGGGGGCGTTTAGGGCGGGGTCGGGGAAGGAGGGTGGGGTCGGTCGCATTGGCGGCCGCGCGGCAGTGGCTGCGGGGGGGGCGGGAGGAGGTGGTGGCGCCGACCGCAATGGCGGCCGACCCGACGTCGAGCGCCGGGCGAGATCGCGAGGGTCGAGGGTGAGCTCGAAGCCGAGGGCGGCGGCCGAGTTCTGAGTGGTGAGGGCGTCGGCGGTGACGATGGCGGCGGAGATGGCGGCGGAGTGGAAGGTGTAGTGTGAGCGGGTGGACGCGCGAGAGGTGCCATACGGCGTGTGGTCAATGGACCCACTGGCGCGTGCGGTCCTCGCAAGCTGGCGGAGGACGCGATCGAGGTCGGCGGAGAATGCTCCGGTCGACTCGGTCACGAGGAGGATGACCGTGTGACCCTTGGTGAGGGCGTCAGCGTAATCGCCGTCCTTCGCTGCTACCCATCCGTCGCCGC